TATTTATATTATATTTAATTCGATATAGGTTATATTTTATTTAGTTTACTATAATGTTTTTCTTTTTTTTTTTTTTACGCTGAAAGTTTTATTAACATCTGCTTTTAAGGAATATTAATAAATAAAAACTATTTAAAACCCCAAAATATTCACGGGATCTCCTAGTCGGGATGTCCGACTATAGCTTTCTATATTTGTTAGTTTTCGTTTTTTAGCCGTAACCGTTTGGATAACCGATTCGCTCTGCCCCATCCCCCAGGGGGGCGGCGCTCTCTTTAGCTGCGGCTCGCTCTCTGGCATCGCTGGCAGAGAGCAATGCCAACCATCTCTCCCCCTCTCTCTTTCTCTCTCTCTCTCGCGCTCTCACTCTGGCTCTCTTATTGGGAATGACAGACGTGGTCGAGATACCGAAACCAAAGGGCGTGCAGCAGCTGCCGCAGAGTGTTTTCTTTTTTAGTGGAATTTCTATTTTAATTTAGTTTTTAGTCAATTGCAAAGTACAGGCAAATATTAGCACTAAAGTACTGTATTAACTGAATTCATATTAGTTAACCAATCGATAGCAAATTTAAGTCTGGCCGCACCTCAGCTGCGTTTACATAGCAGGCCAAGTGTTTTCCTGAAATCAAAACAAATTATCGATTTTTGCGTTCAGCGACGAAGTTGACAACGGGCTGTGCAATAATTTCATATTATTAGTTCAAAGTGTCTCTCAGCCAAATAAGCAAATACAAATCGCACAATCAAGCAATCCCTTAGTCCACATCACAGTGAGATGGCAGCCAAGCGTAATACGGTAACCACACAAATACCGGAGACCCCGCCGGAGGGCACGTCCCTGGCACTGGACACACGGCTCTCCCGCCACGTGGAGAGCGTAATACCCAAGAAGCGGTGAGTGTGCATACAAACATACATATGTACATGCATATGTATGTGTGTATGTATGTCTGTATGTTTGTCATCTATTGGCCGCTGTCATTCTAATTCTTTTGGTTTTGCTCACTCTAGCCAGGAGGCGCTCAAGTGGTACGGCTGGGGCTACAACGATTCCCAGTTCTATGGACAGCAGGGCATCATCTGCTTTAAAGGCGACAAGTACGTAAGCTCCATGAGTCCATGAGTCATATTTGTATTTAATTATTAGTCTCAAGACTCTGCGTCGGATCTTTGAGTCTCTATCCCTGTCTCATAGTGTGCCTCTTTCTAGTTTGATCCAATGGAATCTTAAATTTTATTTCATGGTTTTTATCTGAGGGCTTGCAGTTACTTATATTTAGCGACTCTCAGGCAATGTGAGATGTGTTGTATATCATAATAGCTTTTTTATATGCTATTTCAATGTGATTTAACAGCTTTGATTGTCTAAGAAGATAAGTTAGAGAGTTTCTAGATAATTTTTTGCATACTCAGCTATGTAATATTAGTTTTATAGTAATACTAAAAATCTTTAATTACAATATTGCAAAAACTATATAGTCGTAATATTTTCAGAATATAATATTAATATT